GATCGTTGTCGATTTTGCTGTTAATTCGGGCAGTAATCACGCACTTGTCTAACTGTTCTAAGCCCGGTAATTAATAAACAAAAATTATTTCTTTTATATGGGAGATCAGATATCCTATTCCGCATTTGTAGATTTTGTTTTTGCATGTTTTTATATTATATCTTAAGGATGGACCAAGCACAATCGGAAACATCCGGATTATATTAAATGTGAGTTGTATAAGCAGCAAATGTTTTAAAGACCTTGGCAGTGAAGAACTTTACACCTGCACAAAGAATTCACTTTTTGTCTTCAGTACTGTTAAAAATGTTAAGCTGAATTATGTACCTTTTCAATAAAAGCAATCAGTAGATGCAGTACTCATTTATTCTGATGATGACCTCTCTGCCAGAAGCTGGAACGTTAAAATAGGCAGAATCACACTTTTATATCGCACTTTTATATAAATTGTTTTCGTAATAATGAAACATTTTTTAGCGTATGTTGCAGAAAAACTTTTGAAGATTCACCAAATGCATGTCGATTGCAAAAATATGTTTATGAAGTTAAATACTGTGCCATATATATGATTATATTACCTGACATGCTCAGCTTCGTCACCGTTTGAGCAGGTTGTCGGTGTTATGAAATCCGTTGGTCTTGACGTTGTGAAAGCGTTCATTTTGTACCAGCTGCAGTCATATGCCCATAGAACTTCGAAGAATTTATAAAAAAAACTATTATTTCAATTTTGCTTGATAAAGTAATAATGCTGTACCAGTTATCTTACACTGCTTAAAACTTATTATGTTACTTTAAGATGTCGTTTCAATAGAAAAAACGGGCGAAAACTTTCGTCTTATTTATGATGCGAAGGGACGCTACATCGTTCATAAAATAACCCGAGAAGAAGCACAGGTAATTGCTAATATTTGATATTTTTCAGTTAGTCTATCAATTTCGAAGATCGCTTATCCCTTCTAGTGATGCGGCTAGATTCGTCAGACAGTGATTCCAATGTTCCCGATTCAGTGTTAGCGTTTAAGTTTCAGCAAACGATAACCCGAATATGGAGCAGAGTTTGTTGAGTCTCTTACCCTAGGTCATTGTCCGTCGACTCCGAGGAGTAGTGACACGTTCGCCTTCCATTTTGGAAACATTCGCAAGACGTACTCAAGCAATTACGGGTGTCACTCGTCAATCTTGAGTAAGCAGCAGCTGTATACTAAGGTTTTTTCAGATATCTGTGCTTCAAATCATGTCTAGATTCGTCTCAGAAAACCTATTTGATCTGTTTGTAGCCATGAGAAATTTGCCAGCCATGGCCGCCCACGAGACCTTGCCATAAATGAGTATTTGGATGAAGATTGGCTTGAACATAGAGAGCTTAATCATCAGACACCGCTCTGATTAGTCACAGCGGTTCGTCTAGTTCGCACAAAACGCCACAGACTACTCCAGTCTTCCGGTCGATCTCTTCCTCAAATTTTCCATAACCAGTAAATACGACATTGAATTACTTTGAATTCTCTTCCAGCTCCACTGTTTCTCCATTTATCTGAAATAAGCAGCGGGCAGGGAAATGAGAAAGCACTAGGCTTTTCGTTTCAGATGCGTTCACACACATGTCGGCCACGTCGAAACCAGCTGCTGATATTTCCGGGGAGCACTGTAGATCAGTTTCAGGAGATGCCTGTAAAACAAGTTCGTATGCAGACAGCAACCTTCTGTCTCTACATCTTCGCTGATACACTCATCGTTTAGGCTATGCCTGACTCTTCTATCCATATACAACACAAATAGGAGAATGGTCAGAACGCAGCCTTGGCGGAGATCTTTGCAACCGCTGATCGGTCTCGATTTAATGCCTTTACTCTATCGCCGCACCTGTTATCAGCATATAGTGACTGGATGACCCGTAGCAACTCGCCTTCGATTCCCCATGCGCCTTTTAGTGTCTAAGTCCGGCCATATCAGCACATGTATACCCCTTGAGCGATCTCTTACGATTTCTCCTTAATCTTGCTTAAGGCGGCGATCTGCTTAAAGGTACATCGGCCTGATCTGAAGCAAATTTGCTCGTCTTGGAACTTGGTGTCTGTTATTCTGCAGAACCTTTTTCGAACACCTTTGCGGAAAGTTTTCCGGGCACTGTAAATAAGGTAATGCCTTGTTAATTGGAGCACTCCCTATGGTCTCTCTTTTTAGACAGACGTACTAGATCCCCCGCCTTCCAGTGCGCTGGTTGTTTCTCCGTAGCCATTGGCTTTTGATAGGCGTATAAGCCACCACATGTCCTGTTTGCTATTTCTTTAAGCATCTCAGGATGGATTTCATCCACTTCTGCAGCTTTTCCTCTTTTCAAGCTATTACAGATTCTCTGACTTTATCTACTGAAAAATTGATATTAATTCCCTGCTGCTGTTTAAGTGAGTCTTAATGTTAACGAGTTCCTCAAAGTACTCTCTCCATCGCCGAAGAATGTCCTTATCCTTGGTTAGAGCGTGTCCAGACCTGTCCTTCGAGACTCGTAGACTCCCTTCTTTTCACCTCTGAGCCGGCGGATGGTCTGTCAGAACCTTATTTGCCGTCTGAAAATTCGACTCCAACACCTCATCGAACTTCTCCCAGGAATCAACACTGGCTCTCGCCACTGCTTTCGCTGCAGC